TATTAAAGTATAACTATCAAAATACTTCGTTATATAAGTACGCCCTTTTTCTTTTTGTTTCTTTTTCTCTTTAACTCTTTTCTTTTCTCTCTTTCTTTATTCTATTATCACTTTTCTTTATATATCTTTATTCTTTTATTAATTTGAAACTTAATGGTTAGGACTTTCTTTGAATCCTGATGGTTCTGAAGATTATAAACTCAAAATCAGAAATCTACCAGATTTTGAAATCGGGGATTTTTTTAGAATTCTTTTCACCGTGATTAACACCCTCCTTGCCCTTGAGATTCAAGAAGAGATTAAAAACAAGATTATTATCACTAATATACATACTCTTGAATCTTTACCCCCTTCCCAAATGATTTTAAGATATAAAGTTCTTTGTATAGCAATATACTATATTATAAAGGAAAGAGTTAATAGAATATCTGGGAATTTCGATTCAAATAATGAAGTTATTATATATACCGATGATGATATAGATTCTGATAATTCTCTTGATCTCTCTGATTTTGATAATAAGATAGATAGTAATAGAAATGATATAGATATAGATATAAATATAAATTTATAATAAATTTGATTAATAAAAGGGGAGGAATATAATATAAAACTCAGGCAGGTAGGTTTATTCTATATAATATGACTTTTTTATTATTACTATATATACCGTAACCATTATACCATTATTATATTATAGAGGTTTAAAAAGTTTTTTGATAACATAGAACTATACGCTATTATCCAATTGAATAAACAGATAAATATTATCGTCCTAACCAGTTAATACGGTATTATCAAAAATATTTTTGTATTTTCGAATAAAGATCCAGTATTTCTCTAAAGATCCTCTGTAGTATATATTAGGAACATTAGAATATCGATTAGTTTTAAGTTTTTGTTTGTAGATTCTATCCTTTAGTTTTTAAGTTTTCTATTTATTCTCTGAGTTTTTGTTGGTTTTCTTTCGGAAGGCCTTGGGGGCATAATAGTTAATCTTTTGTTTAGTTGTCTTCGAAATATATTATTCCATTGTTTAATAACTTTCTTTTAAAGAAAAGTATATATCGCTTTTTTTTTCTTTAATAGTTTTTTTTTTTTTTTGATTTCTATTGATTCCAAGGGAATTCGGAATAACTCTAAGATTATATTCTTTTAATAGAATATAACTAGTTCTTCTGGATATACTGGAATATTTCCAGGACTGGTTATTTTAAAGCGATCGATAAGGTATATATCCTTTTCAGAAGTATTCTCCTTGAAGCTATCGGCTAATATATATATATTATTAGATTGTAATAAAGTTTCTACCAGTTTTTGAATAGATATTAAGCTTTTTGGAATATAAGGAGATATTGTTTAATTGTTATTTGCCATACTAATTGCTTTCTTTTAATATTAAAAAATAGAATAAGTTCAACTTATAAAGGATTACAAACAGGGAATAGGCTGGATAATATTAATATTATAGTTAAGGTATAGTTTATATAGAACTAAACTTATACTACTGCCATAGTAATATAAGGATAATTCTTTATAGATTTCAGTATAAACTAATTAATAAAGAACAAAGGATATGAAAGGATATTCTGTATCCTTTCACATCCACGCTTTTCCGGCTAGTCCCCGGAAGGGGATTAGTCTCTACGCGGTGACAACTTTACTCTCTATTTATTAAATCTCTTTTAATAAGTCTCTCTCTATTCTCTTTCCTTTCTCTCTTTTCTCTTTTATATATAATTTCCCTATCTATCTTCTATCTTCTATCTTTCCTCTTTCCCCTTTCCCCTTTCCCCTTTCGCCTCTTAATACCCAATAAAATCATCAGTACCTATATAGTCATATTACAGCCAGTACAATACAGCCAGCCAGCCAGCCATCTAATATCAAACCAAAAGAATACCTAATTACCGGTATCCAAAAGACCCGAAATGTTTCATCTCATCTGTTCTCCTCTCTTCTCTTCTCCTCAAACATTCATTCAATCATCCACCATATACATCCATCCATCCACCAACATCCATCCACCAACATCCATCCACCAGCTCCATCCATCCATTCCATCTTCTAGAAGCATTTTATATTAATCTCCGAGATCAATCCCAACCACAATCCCAAATCCCAAATCCCAATCCCAAATCACAACCCCAAATCCCAATCACACTTAAATCACAATCCCAAACCATACTCACACTCACAATCACAGTTACACGACACTATAAGCTAGCTTATACCAGTAATCAATCCCATCAGCTTTAACCTTATTATACTCATACACATACTCATATAACATAACACATACTCATACAATAAATATACCGAGTACTGTATTAATAGTGTGTTACTCGAGTATATAAGTCACATGTATAAACTTTTGAGCCGATGAATCATAGGATAGGATAGGTAATATTATTATTTAATATTTAATATTTAATATTTGGATCGACAGAGCTTAGGTATAGCTTATAGCTTATAGCTTATAGCTTATGAACGAGGGTCTTTTTAGAGTTAGTTATACTCTATCTTCTTTGATATAATATAATATAATATGAGATACAAGCTATGCTCATACAGTACTAATGCCATTAGATTTCCCCTTGAATCTTATATTATATTATATTATTTTATATTATTTTATATTATTGATCCGTCGGCATGGCATTGGAATCATTGGATGCACGGTTGTGATTTATTTAAACTATGGAGTATATTTTTTGGCTTATTCCCAATTTCTCAGGGGGTTCCAATATTTGAACAGCAGCATTGATTTGATCGTTTCTGACAGCGCTTGTGCAAGTCGGTACTTTTACCCAAGATATTTGAAGGGACTTCCTTCCGATATGAAAGAAAAGAGCAATCAAAATAACCACCGAGGAAACACTTTTCTATTGAGATGTTCTGAAAAGATTAGGAAATATGTTCATAGGGAAGAGGAAAACTTAGGTAAGATCGCACTCCGTATGTTCGCCTTCGGCATCATCTTCTCCTTCTACCGAGATACGACGTCCATCGACATTCTTCTCCACTTCAGCAATTAAGCTCTCTAAATATTCCTGGTCCCTGTTTCTTGGTCAATGATATGATCGATTTGCATTAGGATCTGTAAAGCGCATTTACCTTCCGACTAGAGTGACGGTATTGTGCGTCTTTCCCCATCTAGGATAACTTCCAACCTTGATACCATTTGGTTCTACCTTTGCCGCGAGTTCGGTAAGATATGGCGCAACAGCACTTTCGGACATGGGAGTCGAGATCAATATTCTACAAATACCCTTGCCTTCAGGATCTGTCAATCGAGGAAGTAAAGAAGGTTTCAATCCCTCCAATAATCTCTCAAACAGTCTAGGAACACCGGGTAAGATATGTAGATTGCCATTGATACACGCGACTGGAACCCAAAGATCTTCACAGGGGAATATCACCTGCTTGGATAACTCTCGAGAATCATCTAATGGTAATTCCACCATTCGAAGCTTGGCTTTCTTTGCAGGAGATTCCTCGTCCCAATTGAAGTTTGGTTGAGATGGGTGAGGTTTTGATAATTTCTTCATCTTTTCATATGCTTCTTGGTGAAGCTTCAACTTAAGTCCAAATGCTTTACCTATGGATTGGTAGGTAATATCATCGTGTCTGATCATCGTCAGTCGAGGTATACAGTAACTCCAGTTTCGAAACGTACGTGGGACCAATTCCTCCAGATGTTACTACGAAATCATAGTTGGTTGACATGCGTCTAACAGCTTCAATGATTTCATCCTCATCATCTGCAATAACCTCGATCCGCTTTAAGTTCTATTCGACAGTCAAAACCTCTTCTCTCACGCATTTCTTGGATATCCCACTATTCCATGCTTAAAGCAGAACTTTGCCAAGTATGCCGAATTTGTCTGCCTTCCCATCAACATTCATTTCTCTCCCACATATATATTTTCGAACCTACATCGACAGTCTGCATAAAAGCATAAGTTAGCCATCATCCCTCCGAATCCCCAACCGCATAGATCACAGAAGTACTGACCTTCCCCCCAAGTACTTCATCCCCAATAATCAAACAAGCCGCCGTATGAATCGTTCTCGAATTTCGCTCGTCCGCAGATGATGATGTCATGACTCTATTCGTAAAAGTAGAAGCAGCCGCAGACGTGTGAGCGTAATTTGGTCCAGGACGAGAAAGATGTCTTGCTAATTGTGAGAAACGGGAGAACATGAATGAATAGAAAATAGGAAATAGAAGAGAAAGTCTTCGTATGTAGGTAACTTGTAAGTCGTAACGCAAGAGTATATGGCGCACTGGCAAATCAATGAAGTGGGGTGAGGCTCTAGCACGGGTAGTAAATGGAGCCTTGGTGATGGTTTTTGATGTTACGCGGTTACGCCAGGGGTTTTGCTTTGGCGGGGGTTATCTGTGATGTTATCTTGTAGATATAATAAGGTTTTTTAGAGGGGGACGCAAGTGGCATGTCATTGTTCGTATATGTTACAATTAGAATAATATAAATACAAGAAAGGGTCCCGATATCAAATAAATAAAAGTCTTTTCATGATGCTCTCTCCCCATCCCATATACTTTTCATGGACGAGAATGCTATTGTGTTCGAATGTCAGTATCATACAACTTCAAAGACTATTGTCTATTATGACTACCTATCTTTATCATCAACATCAATCTAGGAGTCAAAGTTCTTTCAGAGAACCCGATGATCCTTTTGTTAAAATACCTAGCTTCAATTTATTTCTACCTTTCCTATCATCACCATCAAACCGATCAACCGCTCAATTTTCGCCCGGATGCTCGGCTCGTCCCTTTTTCTTCCCTTATCGTCGATAGAGATGGTATAAACAACGGAAGGTAATGCGGAGAATCTACTAATTGAAGTTCTCAATTTTTTCTTCTCTTTTCTCTTTTCTCTTTTCTCTTTTCTCTTTTCTCTTTTCTCACTCTTGTCAATGATTTGTATTTATTATCATCATCGGAACCGTTCATTCTCATAATGGTTCTTAGTAACTCTGGATTAGTCAGGAAAGTTACTTTTATTACCCAACAATTGACATCGGATTAAAGTTGTGATGACAAGAAGTCCGACGGACCCGCTCAAAAAGCCGAAAGTCATACGCCGAGTTATTAAAACAAAATATAATACTTTTTCCTTTCTGATTTCATTACTTGCTTACTACTTTTTCTACTTCCTTTACTCTTTATTTTTTGGTTCTCATTAGGATATCTTTACAATTATGTCTTCAGGACCTGCTCATAGAGTGCAATCAGCAGTGGTAGAGTATGGATATCCGCAAGGGCATCTTGGTCATCTTACAACAGAGGAAGAAGCCGCTTTGAACAACTTCAAGGCCCTATGCACCGAGAAGGGTTTGTACAAATCTGGAAATGGAAGTGATGAGCTAGCATCACACGAAGATGCAACACTTCTGTTTGTTCCCGTATCATATTCTTCCACAAACACCTTCTAATGATTCATTAGACGATTTCTCCGAGCGCGCCGGTTCGTTGTACTTGATGCATTTCACCAATTTTCCACGACAGAGGAATGGCGAAAAGAAAATGATTTAGATCAATTATACGAGACTATCGATTTAGAACATTACGAAGAAACTCGCAGACTTGTAAAGTCCCTTCTCTACATTTATCCGCAGCCTTCCTAATCATTTGAATATAGTATCCGCAATGGACAGGACGACGCGATCGACGTGGTATCCCTGTGTATGTTTTCGAAGTATCATATTTGACCGGCAAACGAATGTCAGCATATGAGAAGTCCGCTCATGATACACATACCAAAACCAAGGGACATGGCAAGACCCCGGGGAAGTTATTGCGGTTGTTTGCTTTATACGAAAACCTCACTCGATTTGTTATGCCATTATGTACAGTTCTTACGGATAGAGAAAACCCGCGCACCCCGATCACACAAAGCAATAATATTGTTGATATTTCTGGAGTTGGGTTAAAACAATTCTGGAATCTGAGGACGCATATGCAAGATGCAAGTACTCTGGCTACAGCTCATTACCCTGAGACTCTTGACCGCATTTTTGTAAGTTGTAGGTCTATTGTAACTTTGAATGTCTTCTAATTATTCTGCTAGATCATTGGTGCTCCAGGTTTCTTTCCAACAGTTTGGGGATGGATTAAAAAATGGTTTGATCCAATAACAACGTCCAAAATCTTCATCATTAGCCATAACGATGTGAAGTCAACTTTAGAAGCTTTTATCGAGCCGAGAAATATACCCAAGAAGTATGGCGGCGAACTAGAATTTGAGTTTGGGGATGTGCCTACCCTAGATCCAGCTTTAGAAGCGGTTACCACCTGGAAGGAAGCCGGCTCTCCGAAATTTCCAGACGGACCCATGTACTGGGTACATACAAAAGAGTCTATCCAAGCTATCGCGGTCGGAAGTCAAGAAAAGAAGGAGAGGAGAGAAGAAATATGTACAGTCAAGAAGACCATCACAGACAATGAGACCAATGGAACAATCGCCAAAGACGCCACCGCCGAAACCACATTACCCATTCGATCAGAATTACTTGAAGTACCCACCGCAGCACCCTCAATCGTCACTACAACTACGACCACCGAAACCAATTCTCCCTTAATTCAAGAAAATACCAAAGAAGAAATTGCTAGTCCAAATGACGAACTCATCCCAAACACCCGCCCAGAATTAGAAACTTTCCACACAGCCCAAGATGGGGGAGCAGTAAAATTATCAAATGGAACAACAAAGCCCTATCCAATTACCACTGCCGATACTCTAGGTCCAAACATCAACCATGACGGACCAGCCGAATTATCAAAAGCTCCTACCGAACAAGAAATTATACATGATGATGAAAAGGTTGCGGAATTACCTCATTCACCAGTTGCGAACTCGGATACTGCTTCGATACCGGGTTCTCATGAGAAGAAGGATAAGAGGAAGAGTTTGTTGGGAAATTTGAAGGGGAAACTTACGGGTCATTGATTTTTGATTTTGAGTTTGATTTTGATTTGATGCGAGATTAATGGATACATGATATGGGTTGGTTGCGTGTGAAGAATTGGATGAAGGAAAGAATGGATGGATGAAAAATAGAAGACTAGAAGTAGAATACCTATACGTAGGTATGTGGTCAGGCTGGAGTTAGATGTTAGATGTTGGATGTGTGTGATATATATCACTTTATCACTGCGAGCGAGCGAGCAAGTAAGTAAGCGATACCTTGGGTTGATGTTGGATTTGGTTGGATGAATGGAAACACGAGATTATGAAATAGGAAATGCAATGCAATGCAATGGATAAAGAGTTATTACCAGTACCAGAATAGACACACAGCACAGTATTCATTGATGTTGATTGATTGATTGATTCATTGATTGATCAAGGGTTTATTTTATTTTATTTTATTTTAGCTTGATTTTGTTTTGGTGAGTGGGTGTGTATATGTGATGTGATGTGATGTGGATGGAGGGGATGGGGATGATGTGGATATGGATATTTATGGATATGGATATGGATATGTGATATGAAGAGGGAGGTGATGTGAGGTGAAGTGATGTGGTATGATGTGTTTGTTACAACTTTCAAATCAATCTTCAAAAAAGTTCACAGGAAAACATTCACATATAGATCTAGACCTAGACCTAGACCTAAGCTGGTTCATTTGTAGGTTACAATACTCGAGTTACAATTTAAGCTGTAAAGTGAAAGTGATATACACATGATTCGTTCCCCTTTATTTCCTTTTCCGAGTACCTAACCTAACGCCACGCCACCTTGAAGAGATCCCAGTCATCCATCATCATGAACATAATCATAATTTCGTAATAGTATTCCCAATCGTAAAATCATAATACCTTCCTTCTTTCAAAGAAAATCACCACTTCCATACCCTCCAAATGGATTCGGCGGTCTTCCACCTCCTCCCCTTTGTGGTCCATCTCCTGGTCCCAATGGATCATACCTTGCACCCGGTGGTGCATGTGGATTAATTCCGCCGTTTCTGCCTGCACCTCCCTGGCCTTGTCCTTGTCCGCCAAATAATGGATCATCGAATGTAGGGTGCATACCACCGAAGCCACCCATACCACCTAACCTTCCACCACCACCTGTAAAAGATCCGCGCAGGGGATCGTGGGGTCCTAGTCCAGGTGGATGCAGATCATCGTGTCCGATATTGAATGGGGCTCCGGCTGGCTGAACTATACCGCGTAGAGGGATCCGATTCAAGTCGAGTTCGTCGTCAAAGCCGGGAGGAGGGAAATCGCCGGCAGGCATGGGTCGGCGGGGTGCGTCGGCGAGGGGGTCGTTGTAGGGATAGGGACGGGCGGGAGAGGGAAGTCTGGGATTGGCGAGGGGATTTCGGGGTGGGTTTCGTCGAGCGTATTGTTCTTCCCTTTCGTCGTGGGCGCGAGATGCTTCGGAATCGCCTTGGTGTCGAGACTCTTCGTAGCCTTCTTTTTGAAGTGAAGGGAGAAGTCTTTGAATGATATTGATTTTAAAAAGGGTGGTGAGATCTGCGATTCTGGAAGGAGAAACAAAGATCTCTTTGAGCTTTGATTTTAGATTTGAACGATCTTCTTGATCATTTAAGGTGGGAATTCGAAGAGGCAAAGCGGCAGAAGAGATATAATCCTTGGCTCCGACTTCAAAACGAGTTATTCTTTCATCGCCAAGTCCTATGCCTCTAATCTCTGCCTTTCCACCTAATCGATCGACTTTTACAACGTATTGCATGGATGATTGGGAGTGTGCGTAGAGGAAAGAATGGGAACCGAAGGAAGAGTTCCATTTTGTTGATAAACGTGGAGCTAGTTGCGCACATTCTGTTTCTGGAGATTGGTTAATGATGGATATTTTCATGATAGATGTGCTGCCAAAACTTACCATTCTTTTGTCCTTCTTCGAATCCAAGAAGTCGGAATCCAACAGCGATCATGCAGGCATGAGAAAAAAGAGCGATGGCTTCATAGGAACTGCTGATATCGGAATCGGTATCTTCTTTTTGATGAGTAGGTAGGGCTTCTGCCATATGATTTAGGATGGAATCCGGACTGAGTGGATTATTGGACATTTTGGCGGATGTGTTGATAAATTTGATGTAAGTGTTTCCGGCGATGGCTAGAGTGAGATTAAGCCTTGAGAGCGTTGAAAACTTAGTTGATTGTAACTGATCTGATAAATATCAATATATGAAAGTATACTATGTCGAAGATGTGATGATTCAAGATTCGATATGGAAGTAAAGAGGTAAAGAGTGAAAGAAATACAAACGAGATTTAGAGTATCAGAAAATAAATGGAATGCGGGGGTGGATGGGTGGGATGGGTGGATGGCGAATCCTAGAATCTGCCTGAAGCTTTGCTACCACTCACTGCCTTACCTTACCAGTAATATCCTTGTCATGTTTAGTGACGTTTAGTGGCGGTATACCCCGTCGTGCCCGTGCTCAGGGTTAAAGGGACCCCTGTAAATATTTTGACAGCTTATTTACTGTCGCATGGCAAGGCCTAGAACGTGTAAAACTTCAACAATACCCACCAGGAATATATCTTCGTACAACTTCATTCAATGGCTTTTAATCGCGTTACATTAACTTCAATATCATTCTTGGATTAAGGATATCTTACATCAATTGCTAATAAAGTCACTTGATTGAGATTGAGGCCTTGGTATAACCCTTCACCCCCTCTTGGAAGACAGCATGGATTCAACTGAGCCTCTATTTGAAGGGCAGAAATTGGTGAAACTGCCATCGATTGCTCATGATGATCCTTTTGTCAGGGTGGTTAAGACTTTATCCATGTATGTGTGCTAAAGACTGATATACCATGACTTCCATCTAATCTTTAATGATAGATACTTCGTCGATGAAATTGTCCTACCTTCAACCTTTGAACAATTAAGAACTACATCTGCGGGCAACAAAATCAGAATACTGGTTGAACATCTGGTCGAAAATGTTACCAATCCTGCCATTATAAATGCAATCTTGTCAGTAGCATGCCAATTGCGATTGTACGATAATAACTGAGATCATCCTAGAACCCTAAAATGGCATTTCTCTACCCTCGACGTAGACGATCGCGGAATCAATGAAACTCGAGCAAGCGCATGTGAAATAGTGGCATGGAGATTCTTGAGTCGTGTATCGGAACGAGATGCTGTCGACTTTTGCCTATACGAGTTACCTCTACCTACTCTTCAACGATCAACAGATGGTGCGGCGGAAGAACCAGAGGAAAGTCAAGCTACAGAGCATTCAACTTTATTACCACAGTTCAGAGAACGGGATTCACCCCCTAATACTCGGCCAGCTAGTCAAAAAAAGACAGAACTCTTGCGCTCCATATCACACATGGGATCATTCTTCACACATGATGGTATAGATGATGATGAGGATGACCCAACATCTTCTTTCACGGGACTAAATGGACTTGAGATTGCAGCAGTAGCCGATTGCAAGAAATTCCTTAGTCAAAGAATCGTTCAAAAGATTATAACTGGTATTTGGAAAGGAGATATTACATTTTGGGAGAGCTTGAGTGAGCATACACAAAAGAAAGCTCAATTCTACAACCGAAAAAAGTCCGACCCATTTTCGAGATTGAGAGTACCAAGATACATTAAAGCTTTTGAAGTTTTATTCTTTGCCTCTTTCTTGTTTCTATACTATGCAGTCCTTGTTGAACGGAATCCGTAAGTATCTCCACGGTAGCAGTTCCTTCAAACCTTGACATTATACAGATATCATATTACTCTCCTTGAGATTGTCCTCTATGTATGGTTTGCTGCTTTTACATATGATGAACTTGGAGAGTTTATAGATGCAGGCTCAATATTTTATGCCGTCGACATATGGAACACTTGTGATTTGATGATTATCTTGATAGGAGCTGCATTTCTACTCACACGTTTGTACCCCTCAACCGAGGGTTTCGGACAATATCTAACATTGATTAGGTGTAATTGGCTTATCAAAAGATAACGACAGGATTATTGATATGGCTTTCGATATACTGTCACTAGAAGCATTGTTTATGGTTCCTAGGTTAGTATGATAATGTGTCCATGAGAGAACAAGACTAACTTGCTTAGAATATGTTCCCTTCTCAGTCTCCATCCATACTTCGGAACTCTCATCCCCTGCCTTAAGGAAATGGCAAAAGACTTTGTAAAATTTATGGTCATAGTTCTAATTCTTTACCTCGGATTCCTCACAACCTTTACCCTTCTCGCCCGCGATTCCTTTACTCTTGGCGAAATGTCCTGGGTACTCATTAAAGTCTTCTTCGGATCCTCATATCTCGGTTTCGATATCATGAATCAAATCTCTCCCCAACTCGGTCCACCCCTCATGCTTATCTTCGTCTGCATGACCAATATTCTCCTCATTACATCTTTGATCAGTATCTTGAGTGATAGTTTCTCAAAAGTCATCAGTCATGCTAGAGAAGAATACCTTTTTGTTTATTCAGTTTATGTCCTCGAAGCATCGACCAGCAATCGATTAACGCACTTTTATCCACCATTAAATCTCATCCCGCTTATACTCATAAGACCCCTCAGACTCTTCATGAGTTCATCTACGCTACGCAGAACACGTATAGGACTTTTAAAAGCAACGCATGCACCGATTGTATTAGCTATTAATATCTTCGAGGGCGTTTATGAACATATACAAGATCCGTCTTCGTTCCCTCGCACTCCTATGGCTACAGGACCAACTACACCTACGAGTAGTGGGTTGAGCGGCGGATTGAGTGGTGGAGGTGGAGGTGGAGGTGAACCGGCTTATAAAGGTAAAGCGAAAAAGAAATTCCTGATGAGTCGGACGGGTACAGATCAATCGTTGCATTTTATGGATGGACCGAGTATTGGGAGGGATGGAGAGGCTAGTCCGTTGGTTTGTGGGAAGTGGGAAGGGGTCGTTGGTGTTGGTGTTGGTGTTAGGGGCAGGAAGGATGTTGCTGTAGTGGGTGGTGGTATTGGAAATAGTAATGGAAATGGAAATGGAAATGGAAACCGAATAATCAACAAAACATTAGTATTCTCAGCGGAAGATAGCGGATTAGGAGGAGAAGAGGACAGGAATTTGGATAATGATAGTAGTAGGGATAGGGATATGGATATGGGTATGGATATGGATATGGATATGGATAATAAGAGAACAGAGCAAGAGAGAGAAAGAGAAAGAGAGCAAGAAAGAGAAAGGGGTAACGAGAGAGAAAGAAGATTAGAAAGGAAGTCGATGAATTGGGGGAAAAGATTGAGGAATTAACGAAGTTGTTTATGGCGGATAAGGGATTGGGTGGGGATGATGAGTTGTAGATGTGAGTAGAGGGATTGATGGAGATGGAGATGGAGTTGGAGGGGCTGAGTTATGGTAGAGGAGGGGAGGAAATGAGAGGAGGAGAGTAGACATAAAAAAATGTTTGTGTGTTGAGATATGGATTGGGGGTTGAGATGCGGATTGAGATATGGATTGAGGAATAGGAGATACGGAGGGTGGGAGATGAGGGGTGAGAGATCGACTCGAAAGCATACTTACTACTGCTGGATTGGTCGTAGGTTGTAGGTTGTATAATTGAACGCGGCTAGGTCAGGATGTACATATGCACATAGGATGAATGGCTAGGATGCATGGTGCTGTGTATCTATATAATATGAATGTAAATATTAATCCAACAAATATTTCATATACAAGTATACGTGTTTATATATATTGAAAATTTATACATAAAGAATTTCTAATTGAGAATTTTCGGTTAGGGAGGAGAGGAGAGGAGAGGAGAGGAGAGGAGAGGAGGGGTGTGCAAGGCAAGGCAAGGGAATAAATTCCTATAGATTTAGGTTAGGGTAAGTGGAGAGATGTGTAATGAATGCCTAATTAATATACATCTCCCAAGTTTCGAAGCTAAATTTTTGATTGAATCCCATCCCATCCCAACTCATCTAATTCTACCCCATCTCATCCCTCCCATCTATCTATCTATCTATCTATCTATCTATCTCACCCCTTTCTTTCCCTTCCATCTCACCCCTTCCCAACTAACTACTAACTACTAACAATTTCCATATATATATAATCATGATATTGATATCTTACTCGTAAACGCAATTATAAACTGTTTAAATATACTAAGTACTCTACTCTACTCTACTCTCCTCTACTCTCCTCTACTCTACTCTACTCTTTAGTCTATATGAAATAAATAAATCAATCATAACTATAACATAATCACACTATAAAATAATTTTAAATTTTTAAAAAAATATTTGAAATGAGAACTAGTAGCTAGTACTCGAATAGCTAGTATCAAAATAGAAAAAGAAAAAAAAAGAGCAAAATCTGGATATCTAACTTTTGATTTTTCTTTCTGTATTCCTTGCGCCCTGCGCCATGATTGGTATCTTCATATCTTATCCTTTTGGTGTTTGGTTCTCTCTTTGGTTCTCTGTTTGGTTGCCTTCTGTTTTGTTCTCCTATTATTCATTCATCGTTTCATATCGTGTCATATCGTATTGTGTCATGCTGTGAACGCTTTTGTTCTTTTATCACCTCTCCTTCCCTTCCCCATACTCACTCATCACGCACTCGCATTCATTTCATCCCTCTCCACAACCCACCTCCCTCCCCCTCCCCCTCTCCCCTCACCCTCACAAAACCCCCACCAAAACCCCAATCAACCTCCCCACCCACGGCAACGCCCTCCAAACCCCCCACAAATTCCACAACCCAAACGCATTCGTCTTACACTTCCCCAACAACCCCCACCTCAGCACTTTTTTCTCCCACTCCCCTAACCCCATCTCCCCCCTAAAAACCCTCTCTAACAGTAGTGCTTGCATCGCACTCTGACTCGTACTCAACGCCATATGCGGTCTCATCAGATTTAGTGCTTCGCCTGTAATCAATACTTTATTATTGAAATTTGGGACGATGGCACGAGGGACGGAGGAATCGTTGATGGCGGTTATGAAGGGAGAGCTGGTTTTGGATATGATTTCGGCGAATGGGGCGGTCATGCAGGATTGGGAGAGAGAGAGATAGGGGGCCCAGGCGGCAGGGTTCATGAGGCCGGAGGGGAGTGTGGTACGGTGGAGAGTGCCGGTGGTGTCGGTCATGATTTGGGTGAAGGAGGGGGAATCGGAGGGGAGGGGGTGGTACCACACCCAGTTGTAGCGGCGGTGGCCGGGGGTGAGAGATCCGTTTGGACCGGGGATTATGTATCTAGTGAAGGAAGAAATGTAATTAGCTTGGCTGTTTTTTGCTGGGATATTGCGAAAATAAAAACTTACAACAAAATATATCCGCCCTTATAAGAAAAATACGTCAAATTCGGATCAAAAGTCCTCTTCGCCTCCTCCGAAACCTCAGACTCAGGAACGGTTCCTCGAAAAGCAACGTATCCCGCATAATCTCTCTTGACATCTGGAAAAAGTGTTGCTCTTAGTTTGGAATTAGCGCCGTCGGCTAGAATTACCATGTCGGCTTGAAGTTTCTCTTCTGCGTTGTTGGCTTTGAGATCTTGATATATGATTTCAACACCATCCTCAATACTCTCTAGAGAAATAACATTCATCCCGGTCAAGAACTCCGCTTTTCCCTCACCCTCTCCCATCCCCTCATCTCCATCCCCCTTCCTCACCACCTCCCCCCCACAAAACTCACTCCTCAACCCATCAAAATTCCTCCTCAACCGATGATAAACCACACTCCAACTAGTCATCTGCAACGGTCTCTCCATCTTCCTCTTAACCCTTGCTTCCTTATCCAAAAATTGCACCCCAGGTGATTTAATAGACCATGGTTCATCGACCCGATCGTGCGCTTTCATAAATTCCTCGAATTCTGGATGTGTGGTGATGCCGGCGGCGAGATCATGTCGGATGTCCGAGGGGTTGCGTTCGAGGATGCGGATGTGGTGGCCGAGGCGTTGGAGTACGATGCCGTGCATTAGGCCCGTGTTGGATCCGCCGATCTTTTTAGAGGGGGGGACGTGGGTTAGTAGGGTATGGTATGGTATGGTATGGTATGGTATGGGGTAATGGGGTTGGGTGGAAGGATGAGGGTGAGGGGGGATGAGGGTTGGAATTGTGGGGAGAGAAGTGTGATGTGAAAGAGGTTGAAGGATGAATAACTTACAATCACGATATTCATGGGTTTGGAATAGTCCATCTTGTCTTGTTGATGAGTGAAGTACTAACAAACAGATGGATGAATAGATTTGAGGCTGGTTGGCAGGAAAAAGCAATGTATGTACTCGAGTACTTCTTGGTTCTTGAGACAGAATACAATACCCAAGTTTCCCAGTGTAAATCCCTGTGTGAAGTTATTCACAACTTACTATGAAGAAATACAAGATCAAGATAGATAGATAATCTATGATAACCCTTCAATCCTTACTTGTAGAATAAACTTTGCACAACACAACAGAGGTGTGAAAAAAGTCGAAAGTCTATTCAGAAGGAAAGATCACAGATGTGAGAAATAAATTGATACCAATACTCTGTACAATAGAATATAATAAAAATGGGGCTACCCATATATAACCTCAACCTCAACCTCAACCTCCTGCATTATTGCGGCACTGCACTGCACTTGCACTGCCTGCTGCACTGTGCTGCGGCGGCACTCTTTTATTCATTTATTAAGTCAAATTAATTAAATTAATTAATCAACCTTATGTTAATTGAATTCCTATATTCTTATATATATATACATACACTATACTGTATACAACATATATAGGTAGGTAAGTAGATAGGTAGATATTGTAACATTATCTACGAATAACATCTTATGTAATTACTATATAATAATATCTAAAATCCTATCTATAGGTAATACCGGTAATATATAATATACAACTGAGAGTGAATGTCATTACCTAGGTAATTAACCAACTGGGGATAATATATTCGAGTAATGGGGTGATGTGATATGATAGATGTGATATATGTGATATAATGTGATTGATGTAGACAAGTAGATACCTAGTACAATAGGATCTGTCGATCCTACCACACCACATACTAAGATCTTACCATATCACATCATACTTATTACAGTAACCATACCCACCCATACCATTTTACTCCTCCCTCAATAATAAAATACCACGCTCCGGACTGAAAAAATAAAGTGAGTGAATGGATAGGTAGGTAGTTTTAGTTTTATGACTCTAGAGTCTATATACTGTAATATCGAAGCCTATTATTATAATAATAATAACAAGTAAAGTAATATATACTACCGAAAACTTGATGGGGAATTCGGTATTTGATTTGGGTGAGATTGTCGTAATTGGAGGAATGGGAATAGAGGAATGGAGGAATGAAAGGTTGTGTACTCGAGTAGATAGATAGGTTGATTCAGCCTATTACGTAAGATCACAGTAAAATGAGCACCGATTTACTGTAAATATACAGACGACTCTAAAAACATCGGGTGAAATGAATATTGTATTGTACATATGGTTATCTCGGATAATTCTACGTATTGTGACCATTGATCAACCATTGATTAACCTATTAATTATTCATTACTCTATTCTCTGCCTATGATATGCGCTTAGAAAACTAGGCACAGCATGAATTTGTTGTACAGCTCCACCATTTGTACCTTTTTTTTCTTTTTTGAGCGGCTGATCGAGTCGAGTTGGATGCATGTAACATGGGGGATGAATGATAAGACCGAAGGGGCACCTCCGTCCCAAATATAAAGATTCATCGTGGGCTTGCTTATCTTATTTAAGAAAAATTCCCTAGATGTTCTTCGTTGATACCAGTCAGTAGTCATGCAGACTGAGAATTCTCAAAATACGACTACCGCCGCACTGATCGTGACGATACTAGCAGTCATCGCTGTCGCCCTTCGATTTTTGACAAGACGATTGACGAAAGCTGGTATTGCGGCTGATGATTGGTGGATTCTGATTGGTGTACTGCTATTGATCGTAACTGGTAGTCTCCTCCTCTATGGTACGTGACAAAAAATTGGGAGCAACAGGATTTCGATATAATCATTAATCATGACCATAACTAATTTTCTCAGGCGTTAAATCGGATCCGAATGGTGGAGAGACAATCGATCGCGACTCTCCCACTTTCGATTATGCTCCACATGTCACATATCTCAAAATTTCATGGACGTGCGCCATACTTTATTTTTTCGTCGTGACGGCCATTAAGATCTCCATTCTACTCATGTATCGTCGCATATTTTCCACGAGTTTGGTGCGTTCGTATTGGATCTTCTTGGGTATAGTTCTAGTATGGTGGCTGGCCGGTACCATCGCCACGGCCATCAGCTGTGTCCCCGCGAGTAGATTTTGGATCGGACCGCCGGCGGGAGGCTGGTGTTTTAACTTCAATATTTATTGGATGGTCATGGGCCTAATAGAAATCATCGTCGATATTGGTATCTTGATATTGCCAATAGGTGTTGTCGTTGGACTTCACATGCCTAATTCCCAAAAAGTATTGGTTGGAGGTATCTTCCTACTGGGAAGCTTGTACGTATATCCGAATTCTGCTCCAGTATCTGTCCATGCTGACAATGTGAAAGTGTTGTCGTAACAGGTATTGTACGTGTGGTTCTGGGATATGCTCCTGGTAGTCAAAATGTCGACTTTCCACGAGCGGAACTATGGTCAGCTGTTCATGTTGGAATGGCAATAGTCTGTGCTTGCCTCCCAAACTTTCGTCCACTCTTGAATCGCATCACGGCTTCCGCTCGTCGCCTGTATGGTTCCGCCATAACGAGTGAAAGAGATCCTAATACAAATGGTTCCAGTGGTGGTCGGAGTGAAGCGTCGAAAAATAAAAACGCGGCAGAATTAATGACTTTTGGTAATACTCGACGCCAAAGGCTGAATGAGTTGGAAGATACAAACGCGGATACTAGGCAATTGACGAGGAATGAGAGTGGGGAATTAGATTCCTTCCATCACACAGAATTCGTGGCCGAGGGAGCAGAGGATTCAAGGCCTAGGGGCATTTATGAGGTATGATATCGTCATGTAGACTCAGACAATCGAAATTCATAATATCTCTCATCGCTTGACAAGATGGAAATTCCTCGTAAGAGAACGTGAAGATTGGAATTATATGCCATGAGAAGTCCATCAATAAGAAAAGTAAAGTGAGAAGATTAGAAATACCGGAAAGAAGTGAAAAGCTTCTTCTCTTGGTGGATGTTTCTCGCAAAATATGGGAGATCCCTATGCGCCAAAACAGTTTAGTGCGATGATGCGGGGTTATGTTCCGTTCCCCCTCACACGTGATCGAGAGTTCAACGACGTAGACTTAGCAAATGAGGAAGTCGAGGAAGTCACCTCTTCATTCACATATATGGGGGGTCTTCGATAGTATACCTACCTAGTAGGTATCTTTTGCCTTTTCCAATGACTTCGAATCTCATATACGAGTAGCTCAATGGTGTTTTCATATCATAAACATCAGCCTTCGAACGGTCGAACCAATTGATTGCCAATTGGTAAAAATCAGAAATCATTTATAATAATATGTTCACTCAACTCGAATATTCAAAGCTCGACACTCACTGGCAGCAAGTCTAGACCACACATGATGAAGCAAAGAGAGAAAAAGATTGTCAAAAGAACATTCTTTATTTGAAAGAACATTTGTTATCAATCTTCTCATTTGGCCAAGAGAAAATTCTGAATATAAGGGCCGGGTCATGCATCTAAGACATGTGTCACTGATATTGAAGGTCCAGTGAGTCAACACATTTATTTATCCGGTTCTTGGACCATCAGATCTCAGACACTCTTTGGGCCTTAAGGGACCTCAAGAGATATGTCCTAGAGAATCTACCTGATATTTGATATGATATTAATGATGCTTGTATCTTCAATGACACAGAACTCTCACAAATGATATACTAATAATATGCACCTAGAATACTCGAGTTTGTGGTTAGGTGATCATTTTGGTTATCGAAAGAAGTGTAACAGAATTCTTTTCACCCACCGACTGTTAATGTCTTACTTTCGATCAATGAAATATTCTGGGACAATTTGGAGTCTCAGTAGTATGGTCATCCGGATATCTGTGCTGGCAGGACAAGTTATGAGTTCCGGATAGATTTAAGTTCTGGGCAGATTTCGAATTCCAGCTAGAGCTAGGAGACCTATAAACACCGGACATATATTTTGACTTTACTTTTGCATTCTATCTCACCATATTTTACTTTCTCTGCTCTGCTCAATCCTTTGATTTTTTCATGTTGTTTTATATCCTCATCGACTGAGCATACATGCATGCATGCAACTGAGCATTTACATATACTCTTGCGCTTGCGCTTACAGATCAAGCTTGTAGATCTGGCTTCCTTTCAAGGAAAGTTTTCTTAGATGACAAATGAAATTGTGAGAATAGTTGGCCTCTGCATTATCTTCATATGCTTTTGTTGTATCTCGGGCAAATTTCTGCACTGTGTAGTGTAGTACATGATGTACATTAATCAATAACTTTGAAGTCTTCAGAGCGATACAGAGTCTTGCAGCATGGTACCTTCCATCACTGTCACTGTTACAGCAGGTGGTACACTATTAGTAGCCTTTATCCCTGAAAGAGATATATCGCTGCTCTGTATGTATTTCAACATTGATCATCAAACTTACTTGCGCACTAAATTGCCGCAACAATACAAGGTGCTCTACCAGTCAGCTCTTTCTTTAAATCATCTTCTTGTTCACACTCATCTCTAATTTTTCCATTTATCAGAGCTAGCGATACCTGAAGTCCTAGATGAAAACGCGAGTGAGGCTTCTGCGTCGGTACTCCTTCCTACTCATTTTACTACTCGAGTATATTTCAAGTTGTAATTATAGCCTTCTTGCATACATTCAGACGCAGATCCCAATTCTTAGTTTCCCTCAATCTCTTTGCAATTAGCTCAAATCAGAGAGGAGGAGCGCGCAATATAGTAACCTTACTCGCAGACCGTTGCCTACAATGGAGTTGGTGTTAAGGTATTTCTGCACTCGCAGAAGTTTTAATAACGGATATGGTCTCATTATAGCAAAGAGAGAATGACATGGCTTTCTTGGGTGTGGTGTGGGCATCAAGTAGTATAAATGAATCCTTGATTAATGGGTCCTGGTCGAGGATAATGCTTGGAGATGGATCTTCTACCTCATTCTACCCATCATCGTGGTGGGATTTGTGGGATGTCTTTGATTCTTGAAGCTGGAGAGGATGATAAATTGTTCGAGAAAGTGCTACTGGGAATCTGTTGTATCGGCTCATTTATCTTCTTTGGGTCTTTGACATTGTTTTTGACATTGTTTTTGACATTGTTTTTGAATCCATTGACTTGGGACGAAGTGAGGTATTCATGGCTGGCATATTCTGGTCCCCACTGTTGTTGGTAGCTGTTGAAGTTTTCGGTTTATGTGTGTATGAAGCGTTGGTTGCGAGGAAGATAATTTTGTTAACTCGACTGTTCCGCAGTCGTTCAACAGCGATCGCATACTTCTTTATCTTTCTGTACGGTATGACTCTTTAGTCGGTCTTCCGTCCACTATGCGCCCTTACTTCATGTCTGTTCAAGTCTATACGTCCATTATGGCCGGCTCTTCTACCCCTCCCTAGACTCTCACGATTGTGCCCTTCGTCATAATCTTCGGAATTATCGCTGCGAAAACAGAGAGATATTGTTGGGATCTAGGGATTGCATGGCTCGACAGCCTTTGGTTACGATATGTAGTGTCTTCTTGATGTTGTAACTTCAGTTGTTGCGTGGGGATTTTTGATGCTAGGAAGTGGTATCGCATGAAAATCTTATTTTCAGTTATCACTTTAGCTTTTCAAGCTTCTGCTGCGGTGGGAGATGCTGCCACTGCAGTAGGGTTGTTCGCATTATTTCGAATCCTTGGATAAACTATTGGTGCCAACATGTAAGTTCTTCTCGTCCTTCTTTCTCGTGTTTCCATCTTCTCGAAGGCGCCAGCATTCGTCTTTTGAGTACCCTCCTAGCTGCCTGTCTCTGAATCTTCGTCCTTCGTTTTCTTTTTTCCAAAGTAGTAAGTTGAATAAATTTATTTCTGTGCTCTGTGATCTGCGCTCGTCTCCGCTCCTATTATACCCAAGATTACTTCTTCAGCTTCGTTCCTAACACATCTTTTCGACTATCCAAGGAATAACATTGTACTAGCAACGATTAGTGGAGGTGCCATATACTAAATCCGAATGGGCCGAACTCAAGACTCTTTCAGACCTCACCATGCTCACAGCACAGCTTGGACATACTCTCGATAGAATAGCTGCCAAATCGGTGGCTCTGATCTCATTGATCAATGATCTGCCACTTGATACTCCAGAAGTGATGGGCTTCAGGATTGTATCTGCAAGATCTATCAAGACTATTTGGGTTGGATGTGTAAATTCGCTCCAACTGGAATGATCGCCAGTTGCTTTGTCAAAGGCTATGATTTCGATCAGGCTCTTGTGACAGATGGAGGTTTCGCAATGGGCGTGAAGAAGGTTGATCCTGTGAGAAAAAGATGGGTACGAAGGCTAATGACTTAAAAAGTTGAAGCTGTCTGTCGAATAGAAAATCATAAGTACGAGTGATTCGAAGAACCTTTTTTCCAAATAGAAAAACACGAAGAAGGGTGGAGGTGAGTGAATGGGAGAGGTTATATCTGGTTTCAGCAAAAGAATAATCAAGGAGACGATGAATTCCGATAAGTTGAAGTTGTCTCCCCAAGAGAAAGAGAGAATATTCAAAGATATCGGAAGAAGAAGAGACCTGCTCTATGTTCGGAAAAGACTATTAGTTACAAATCTTTTTGGTATCTGGAAGGAATTTGATATTGTTCTATTGACTGACTGTATTTCTATTTCTTCTCCGAACAATTCCATATAATGTTTCAAAAGGTTTGTTTTGTTGGTACAGCTTAAAGATTATATGTAGGCACGTGGTGGGCTGTTCTTCTTTGGTTATATCGAGTTAAATAAGATCTTTCAAAGCCAATCAGATATTTCCTTGATATCTTTAGATTAATATTTTCGTCTCCTCTTTCCGAATTGAATGAATACAATTTTTTGCACCTATCAGAATCATTTCATTCTCGAATATAAGCCCGGAAATGTCTTAGCGTCGATTGGCTGTATTGGCTCGCTAGCTATCGGAAACCTTTTTCTTGTTTATCCGAGTCACCCACCACTTGTCTTTGACAACCTCTCTGATCCTCTCATTTTTATTTTTCCGATCTCTACAAGTTCAACTTACAACAATTCACAAAAGTTATCACAACCACAACGCGCATCTTGAAAATTTCCATCAATATTTGGAAATTTTATCAACATGCAAAACAACATACCACCCAGAACAACAATTCCTCATGGGGACTCCTTCAATCCTCGACCAACCAAGAGGGGAAGACCCGATAGACGTTCAAGATCGACTCGAGCATGCGACAAGTGTAAAAAGTAAGTAATATTTCAATTTCCGGAATTCTCTCCCCTTTGTTCCACATGTCATCACGTGATGATCCGAGAGCTTATTGTGGTCTTATTGATAATTATACAGAGCAAAAACAAAGTGTTCTGGTGACAAACCTTGCACATGGTGTATCGGACTGGGTTTAGAGCATGAATGCACATATGAGGCTCCCTACAGCCGTGGTTTACCACCTAAAATCAGACTGAATCCAGCTCATGAGCACAGCGCACAATTACATCAACCAAACTATAATGGATTCAATTCAATCAATTCAATCGATTCCAGTTCATTTCAGAAGCAGGGATCAAGACAACTATTACCGAAGCTTGGGGCAAACGGCGAAGTTTTACCAGATAATATGGCACCTTCACGTCAGCAGCTGAAGCATTATTCAACTGCTTCCATCTTTCAAGGAGTCCAACAAGGATTTGATATGCCACTCAAAGGCTTGTCTGTTCCTATCTTTGCGTTTGGCGATTTACCAATGCCTACCTATCGATCTGGAATTATTGCTCTGCCAAACAAAGATGTTGGTGCTAAACTTGTTGCAACTTATTTTGATCAGGTATCACATTGCATGCTCATACTTCATATTCCAACAGTTGAAAATTGGACAATGGATCTGCTTTCAGATGACGGTTATACCCTACAGAATAATGAGCTCAAGAGCAGGAATGCAATTGTTCTTTTAATTTTTGCTTCCGCTCAAGCATACCTTTCAGGACCACAAGCAACAAATTCTGATCCAAGGTCAGTAAGACACCTCTTTCTCTGATTCTCTTGCTAATATTTCTATCTTTAACAGTATGCGATACTTCCAATTGGCAGACGAACAACTACAATCCGAAACAGGTCCCCCACAGCTAGCCAGTGTACAAGCTCGATTACTACAATGTTACTACCTTCTATCTAGAGGTAGAATCAATCAATGCTGGAGCACCTTTGGTACTGTGGTCAATTTAATATTCGTACTTGGAATCCACAGAAAGCACAGTCAAGAAGGTATTATCAATCTAGTTGATATTGAATGTCAAAAGCGAGTCTTTTGGGCTGCTTTTACCCTTGATAAATTCTTGAGCCATGCTCTAGATGATCGACCACAGCTGATTGAGCTGGATAATACTGATCAGGTAAGCTGTTTCTTTCTTCCAGCCAGCAATGTTTCCATATACCTTTGTTGTTATGCAGGTCTGTTTTAGTCATTGCTTAGTCGAGTCTCTGGCCCCTTTCTTCAAGACAAGTCTGCAATCCGACCAAGTAAAGGGGTCTGATCAACTGCTGAGTCGTGGATTGGTCATCGATATCAATTTGATCTTTGGGCAGATATGAAATTTCATTGTTTACTCTGCAGTGTCACCGACATGGCAACATCTAAACTCAATCAAGTGAAAGAACTGACTAACAATCTCATTAGGACATGCCAAAACTGGTTAATGATAGGCAGCTTACATCTACCTTTCTCATGCCTGCTGGTAAAGATACTCTCCCTATGAACTTTGCTACCAATCTTCAAGTCGAGTAAGTTATACTTCCATTTATTGACTTCAAGGTCATTTCTAATCAATATATACATAGACTAGCAATCATCATCAGCAAAGTCCTAAAGGAAACCTGCGGAACTCATAGACCCGATGTCAAAATCCATTTAGAAATCGCCCATGACTATATGAATGATCTCTCAGGCTGGAAGCAGAAAGCCAGTCCTTTGCTTGATGCTAATCTAGATTTTTTGAGCCAGGTTCAAAAGCTCCAAAGAATAGATCTCTTTTTAGCATATCACCATGCCCAAGTTCTTTTACTTCGCAACTTCATCCTCGATAATGAAGTTGCAAATAGTTCCAATGGCAACAGCAGTAACCAGGCCGATGCTGTGCTAACCCCTGAAGTTGATGACGCTGCCGCCAAAGCACAACTCGTTACGGATGTTGATGAAGTCAAAGGTATCCTTGTCGAGGCATGTTTGGCTATCTGCAAAATCATGGAGGAACAGCCTGATTACCCTGAGTTTGATCAATCATTGTCGTTTCGAAATGATTGGGTAAGTTTTATTTTTCCACTACAAAACTACCAATCTCCCTTCCTCCCTCCCTTCTTTTCTTCCTCCCTCCCTCCTTCCTTCCAAGTTGGATACAAACTAACATCTACATTAAAAACAGTTTACACACTATGTCATATACTCCGCCGCAGCAGTTACATACATCATCAGCCACCAACACCCCGCAGAAGCAGCTAAATCTTCCTGCATGATCCTCAAGAAAGCTCGACTCCTCCACCAACCTCTCAAATCCGTCGCACAACCCGGTTCATTCATCGCCCAATGTGTTTCCAATTTGGATGAATTAAAGGATGCGGTCGATGATGTTATCGAGCAACATCTAGGCGTGGAACTAAATACGAAGATTGCTGAACGAAATACGAATATTACCAAACGAAGTGCGAAGATTGCGAAACGAATGGCGAAGATGCCGAAACGCAGTGCGGAGAGCAGTGGAAGTGGAAGTGGAAGTGGAAGTGGAAGTGAGTACGTGGATGCAGAGGATACGCCCATGGATTTTAGTAGTGATGATGGTGGCGCTGCTGCGAATGGAAATGAAAATGGAAATGGGAATGGAGCTAGGCGTGACGATACGAATATGGGTCAGCAGAAAACCAACAGAACAGGAAGAGACGCTAGCGATGGTCGAATTCCCATCATGGACCGTTTTGCACGATGGGGTTTCTCGAGACTTACGGCTCGCTAGTTGGGTGGTTGATTTGATGGCATCGGAAGGATGGATATCTTTGATGATGTCAGGTCAATGTTTCGTGGGATATCTCGGTCTTTGACTTTGAGTCCTGATTCCGAAGCAGTACCGATCGATCGTGGATTTTGTCCTTTTTTCCCTTCTTCTTCTTCACCTTTTCTTCTTCTTCTTTGATCATCCCTTTTACCAGCTTTTATGGCTGCAGCATTACATATGTATGCGTTCTTTTCTGTTTTTCTGCTTTTTCCTTTCCTTGCCGTTTTCTTTTCCATACCAAAATACCACTTTTTCTACAGTCTACAGGCCGGCGCACAGAAGGAGCATATGCATTTTCATATGGCCAGGATATACCCAACATAGTTTGCATGAAGGTACATTTTTGTAGATAGGCGTTAGCATTAGCATCGGCATTAGCATCAGCATTATGCGTTGAGTTATTTGAATGGAATTCGTTGATTTATGGGTTGTGTAAGGTTGCTGCTAGTGGTTTTGATGAGATGGTACTTGAGTATACATGTTTGATTATACTCAGTACTCGTAATATGATAAGATACATGCCGGTCGGTAGTACTATAGTACAGTAAACGCTTCACACTCATGATCAATTAGTAGCCTCGTCTCTCGTCCACTATGAATATACCCCTATCTATATACAGTCACTCTATACAAGCCTATTCCTATCCCAATTCCAGTTCATATCCCCATCCCTATCCCTTCTACTCGTATCCCTATTCCTATATTATAATACTTCCTAAAATACTGGTATGGAAATTAATTACTCTTATTTTACTTGTACTTGTACTGGGATCAAGATTTGAGATTTGAGATTTCAAATTATACTCGAGTAATGTGGTTTACGGTAATGCTATGAATAATGAGTAATGAGTAATGTGACATTATAGATGAATGAATGAATGAATGAATGAAATGAGTTGGTTTTTGTGAGTAGTTGTTGGATACCGGTAGTTGGATAGAGTAGAGTGTAGAATTTTGGGAGGAGGGGAAAGGTTTTTGGGGGGAGGAGGGGGAAGGGGTTCTGGTTGAGTTTGAGTGGTTGAGTGGGAGGGAAAGTTGAGGGGAAGTTTATGAGAAAGTTGATGAGATGGATGGATGGGAAGGATGGAATGGATATGTAAGAGGAGTTAGTGAGGATGAAGGTATGGGGAGGGTACGATGATGAGGATACTAGGATTTCACCTGGCTAGATACTCTATGAGCATGTGTAGATACTAATAAATTCCGAGTGAGTGAGCTACTGACCCCTCAGATTGTATTATGTTATCTTATATGATCAGCCATTTATAATATATTTCCACAGACCGACTGGGTGAAATCTGTAGAAATCTGGTATGGCTGGACGGATACTCGAGTAGAGCCCTCAGAGGGTAGGGGAGAGTAGGAGAGATAAGAAGTCTAGATTTATTGAAACAACATTTTATCAGATTAAAACATTCTTTATTTTCAGTGTTCTACCTTCATATCTAGATTCTCAATACCAGTATCGGAATCACCAGCCGAAATCAAATGCATCTTACACGATTGATGGCAAGGAGAGGTTAACCGAAGTGTACCGAGAATAAACCTAAAATTATAATACCCCACATTTCGAAGTACAGTACAGTTAGTTACCTGTACTCCCTAAAAATGCGTTTTCAGACCTATGGTATATAAGAATATCAATAGGGATTCTCAACTTCTGTAATCTCATATACTTAGTTGTTGGGTGTGGATAATTTATTAAGTATAGTTTGAAGACTGGATTGACAATTGACTAATCCGATATATCGAGTCATTATCGGGAAGGAAATTGGTGTCACCTATACACAAGGAAAGAGAAAGAACATCGAAAATAACCTACTTTCAAATCCATGTAGACTTTATCAATGCTGGATTTAATTTATTAAACTTTCTATACTCAATTATTACAGTTAAAAGGACCGACTAAATCTATTTTCCATATTGAAATGATATCTTGTTGATTTGATATCAAATTTCAAACCAAGAGAGCAGCTTCTGGATATGCGATTCGTTATGAAGTTCATCGTCTGCACCTGCACCCCACATCATTGTATGCATGTCTAGCAGGACCCTTCGTGCATCATGCATGAAAGCATTGACAATGTTAACATCACTTCATCAATTCCCCTCGTCCAAAATAAAACATACACTTACAACACTTACACAAAACGAAGAATCAATCCAGCCATTTCAAAAACAAATTCAGAAATATTGATAAGAAAAATCACGCAAATCGTTCCATCATCATTTCAAACAGAAAGATTGGTTGACTGAATTATGCTAACTTTTCAAAGAGTAGGTGGGGCACCCTGAACAAATCACATCGTCAACTTATACTTACTTGGTAGTTAGCCAACACCTAACAAGAAGATGAACAGTTTACTCCCCACTTAGGCAAAACTATATGGCTTGCCACTCATGTGACCAAATTTTGCTGGTTGCAGATAACCCAGTCCCAATTCTTCCTTCTAGAATATTTCCTTCGATTCAATAACTACATTGATTTTACGAAGCCTAACGGCGAATTCTTTGGTTCTTCATACCATTTTTCCGGTTCTCTCATCATCGTCATTTGTTGTCATCATCGTCACTGACACTAATCAATCCTTCTGTACTATTCAGTTTAGCAACAGTTGGTAAGATGTGCATGATAAAGGAGCCTCCCCCGCCCTTCTGGGCATTGAGACGACACCATCGTCGCTCAGCATTCTCCCGCCCAGCATTCGTCCGCAGAAACGCGGAGCCTGTTCCAGGTCACAATGCCCCTCGAATTCCATTTGCGGTAAGTTGTAGTGTTTCCCGTTTAATTTTCGTCCTAAGCTTTAATTCGAAGTCCCCTCACTTCATTTTCATGTAGTGATTAGAACGACCACATATTAACTAACGAGGCAGATTTGCAGGGCTGCCAGTTCGTTGTTGCTGTCAATGTTCTTGTTTTGTGAATTTGTTTTGTTGTTCATGATATATTATCGTTATTGTTGTTATCGAGGAAGATGAGAGAGAACGCAGCTAATTAATTGAACAATATAGGCTGCTAGCATCGCCAGGGCCAGGGCCGTTGCCAGGGCTAACACCGCAACGATTAACACCACAACCATCATCCCAATCATCATCCCAACTATCATCCCAACCAACACCATGGCCAACGTCATGGCCAATAGCGAGGTCACCGGGGCCAGTAGCGAGGAGACCCCCCCTTCATCCGCTGACCAAGTCACGGTAAGAACAATCCTTTCCACCTCTGTCTTCATGTCCACCTTTTCCATCTCTCTCATCATACCTCCTCCCTTCTATTTACATATATTTACAGAGTCACTAACATATTTTCTTTCCAGGACACGGTCGGAGCTACCACTGGGACCGAGTTCCATTCAATGTCTGCGGGATATCAGACCGAAGAAGCAGGGGTCGAGGACAAAGCTCAAGCTTAAGCTTGAGCTTTGACGGTGGGGTTTATAAATGGCGGGGGACATTACCAGTGAGGAGTTCGGGAGGATTACAGGACTGGCAGGAAGAGGAGGGGCAGAGATCGGAGTGGAATTCCCAGCTGATTTGCAAACGATATATCAGCATTACCGGGGACTCACTGATATCACTGATCAGCTACTAATCGACTTGCGTGGTCTTTTATAGCATCAGTATATAATCCTCTCCTCTGCCCTTTCCCCTCTTCGCCTCTCCTCCTTCAACCCTCTTTCCCCTTTCCCCTTTCCCCCTCCTTTTTATACCCCAATCGTGTACCCCCTCGTGTTCGCTCTTCGTTTTTTCTTTTGTCTTTCTCTTCTTTTAAAATTAAAAGATTTCAAAGATATCTCAAAAATACATCTATCTAAGTTTATCTAAAATCAACAAATCTTTGAATGCATTTACTTAATAAACTAACTATTAATTAACTATATTATTCGATTAACTTTTTAATAGTATTTTGAAACTCTAGCTTAGTTATCTACATTAATAGCTCACAATCATCGCTATTAGCTATTCTTTTTCAAAGTTATATACTCTATCTACGAGTATATACATTATGTATACATTATATATTCTTTCTACTCGTATTTACTATCACTATTACTATTACTTAGTGTTTATATTAGTATATAGTAGTATATAGTGACATTATAGGAACCTATACGAGTATTGGAAGTTTGATATAGTATATTATATATATTGAAGGTATTTACTAGTATATTAATATCTACTCGAGTATCCGAGTATATATTACCTATTAATACGAGAATTAGAAGCAATATATAGAAATATCAGAAAAATACCGAAATTATAATTCAAATATAGGAATAATCTCAAATTTCGATAAAATATAGAATATTCCTATATTTTATTCAGATATATTTGATAATAATATAGGAATAGTACTAAGTTTAATAAAATATAAAGTAATT